TGGAACAGGCTGCCCAGAGAGGTTGTGGAGTCTCCTTCTTTGGAGATCTTTAAAACCCGCTTGGATGCAGCCCTGTGCCACGTGCTCTAGGTGACCCTGCATGAGCAGGGGGGTTGGACTCGATGACCTCTGAGGTCCCTTCCAACCTTCGGCATTCTATGATTCTATGATTCATTCCTTACTAATTTGTTCATGACAACAAACGCATTAGGAATGTGGTCTTTGCTATGTAAAGATACTTGTGGGTTTTCCTCTACTAGAAAAAAGAAAACCATACTTTTCTTTTTGTAAATAAGTGACATTTCTCTTGGGAATGTACATGCTTTCTCTCCTATTTCCCGTACTCCCCAAAAGAAGCTTCATTTTTCGGAAGCACTTAGTTACAGCAGTTAGATTAGCTAGAGTCCTAAACATACTGACTTCTTTGTGGCTTTTCAAGGTTCATTTTGCTGACTTTTTTTTTTTTTTTTTTTTTTTTTTTTTTTAAAAAAAAAAGGCAGCAACTCTTCAAGCTGTCAGCTTCACAATCTCTACACAATCTCTAAATGCTCCCCCAACAAACAGCTGCTCTATTGAGATCTGCACAAATGTCAGCAAGTTATATGACCTTCCGCTGACTTTGTGTGTGCAGAATACATGTGGAGCTTGCCGAGTAAATAAGACACTGCCTTCTAGCTAGTATTTCATGTTTGCATTTTCTAKATATTCATGCGTACACGAATTTTAGGAAGCAAAGGAAACAAAAGAAGTGCAAGAATTTGTTTTTTTTCTTGGGGTTTGGAGGTGTTTTTTTTCCTTTTTACTCTTCGTGTGTAATTCTGTTGCAGTCTTCATTTCTATAGTGTGCTTCTTTTAAAGTCTTCAGTTTTCAAAAAAAACAACAATATCTGGTGTCTGTTTAGGAAGACACAAAAATAGACTTTTTACCAGTGCTATCTAAGTAGTGTGCTTATTAAATTGTACTGTTTTGATTAGTTTGTTTGACTTTCTCCACCTATGTGCTTTTCACCTAAATATTGCTTTAAACCAATGAATTTTAAAAGGTTTCTTGGCCCTTTATGCAATATCTGAGAAATCTTATTTAAATATCTTTTCCACTTTTATGTATGTGGATTTTTTTCTTCCTTTCTGTAGATGCTTTCTGATATGTTCTTTTTCTGAGAGGGGAAGTATTTTTAGCTTTGTTTTGAAGTGACTGCATGATAGCAACGTATTCTGTAAATATAAAAAGTCCTTTATGATGGTAGCTTTAGCAGCTGTATTTTAATATTAGCTAATTAGAGTCTGAAAATGAGTATTCAACTTCTGCAGGTTCACTGTTGCTTTTTATAGACTCCCTACGCTGGCTGTTATCGGGAGGTGTAATTAATGAGCCATCATGGGGAATTTGCTTAATCACAAGAGACTAAGTTGTAGGTTCACAGCAGCCTTCTCTCAGACCTGAGTAGGCAGAAGTGTGGGTAACGTCTGTCCTTTCTGTCATCCTATTTCGAGTCAAGTCCATGACTCTGTCATGTCCCCCTCCATCCCTCCAACACCGTTTTACCTATTTTTGCCTATACTGTCTTTTAAAACCTGCCCTCCTAGAAACCCTGTCAGCTGCATAGTGTTTTTTGCCTTTCATTGAGAAGGAGGAAATACTGTTTTTCTGGTAATTGACTTGTAACCAACCCCACAATCTCTTTGCCTTTTCAGTTCATCTAGAAGGGAATTTCTTCATGTTTGACAATATTTAAAGTTTACAAGTGTTGGGATGTGATTTATATTTCCATTGAATTGCTCTGTGCTTTGATTACTGTGAAATCTCAAAGAGGGGTAATATTTCCTGTCTTAAAGGAGAAGGAGGGTGGGCATCCTTATATGCATTTTTTTTCTCTCTTAAACTTGGTTAGAACTTGGTTTGTGAAAATCCCATTGTAACCCTTAATGTTCAGACTTCTCCTGGGAACCAGATAGTATTTGCTTTGATAACAGGAAAACTGAAAAACTTACAGGCTGTGACTTGCCCAAAACTTCAGGCAGTTCCAAAACCAGTGAGAGCCCAAAACTTCAGGCTGGTGCCAGCTGCTTCTGGCTGCTTTTCCTTTCTGCTGTCCTTTGGGTGGTGCCAAAAGGCCCTTGGAGGCCTGGGCTCTGTCACGAAGAACAGCTATCCTGCTGTGGCTTGCACTCAGAAATCCTTTATCCCCATTGCAGCTTTGACTCTTGGGACCTCCCAAGAAAGATGCCAGTAATAGTAATGAAAGTTTCAGTTCTCACCTCAAAAGGTAGTGGGAATTCCCTATATAAGCCCTTTTATTCTTGGGTTGGGTATTTTTAGCAATATTCTCAAGTTTAGTGCTCAGAGTTAGTTTTTGGCAAAGAGATTTCAAAATAATGAAATACCATTTTATTATACTTAATTTGGCAAATTCAGTGAATGAGACCAGAATTAACAAGGAATTAAGTTAACTTGATTAGCCTTTCTGTTGCGGTTTGTTGCTCTGGTGATGCTTACGGTGCTGCTGCCGCCAGAGTTTGATTTGCCAGATAGGGAAACAGTTGTCTTCATTCTTAGTGCTTCCAGTTTGCAGCCATTTTTGTGTTATGGCAGCTTAGATTTTTCAGGTATTCCTCTGCTATTACAACTTCTCTAACAAATAGGGCTAATTCTGAATGATCCCAGACCAGAGCCCCACCATGCTCTTTCACTTTGTTGTGAAGAAAGAATGGAAGGAAAATGAGCCTTTGGCTTCTGCTGGCTAACTGGATTCTTAAGTCTGTTTTGGAGGCTTGCCCAGTCTCATATGAAACTATTTTGAATAAGGGGGTTCATACCGATGAATGAGAAGCAGAGCTTCTTTTTCTGACTTTTGTAAAATGAGACAACTCCATAGGAGCTGGTCCCAAATAAGTCCTGTATCCACTCCGTGATGATGTTAAATGTTGAGGCTTTTGGGGTGGAATGGGTAAGAACTGAAGTGTTTTGGACAAACTGGGCTTTTTGGCAATGGTCGTTTTGTGCCTTGACAGCTGCTTGAAGGAAATTCTCTTGAGTTTGTACCACAAGAGTTTTGTGGGTAAATTTAGCTTACTGGCAAGGTGAGGAGAAGAGTATTTTTTGTTTGATGGTATCTCTTCAGGAATAAATTCAGGAATATGAAGAATTCTGAAACCCAAATAAAAAAGCATTTGAATATAGCATATAATGCTATAAAGAAAAAGGGTGGTGTGAATGAGGAGATCGTTTTACAAGATTATACTTAAAAAAAATCGTTGTGTCATTTTATTTCAGATAAAAAAAGCTACTAAGCCTGATAAGAAATTGAGATTTGAGAACTCCGTTAAATTATATAAGTTACTTTGATCTAGCTAACACTTGATGGCTATTAAATATATAATAGTGTAATGTAAAAGAGTATGAGAACTGACTGCTGAGGTATTTAGTAATGTTATTTTCAATTAAAAAACTCCAGAGGAGGGATTATGGTTGTATCATCAAACTTGTATAAAAATAGTAAGGTCACCTTGTCCTTTGAAATTGATTTTGCTTGCCTAAAGAAAGGAAATTCCTTCTAGCTCCTCCAGCATGCTATGAGCTTTTGCTTTTGCAGGTGCACTCTACTGTTATTTCTTACCAAATAAATATGGAATTACTGGCTCTGTAAAGCTATTCCTTAAATATAGTTAAAATTTTGGGTGTCTGTTGTGTCACACTGATCAAAAACACAGTGATGTAGTGAGGTGATTTTTCTGTCATTTTAAAATATAAGCAGTATTTGCTATTTTATACAGYACATTTTTTTGCCTCAAACCTCAGCCTCTCTGCCCCAAGTGTGCACTGTTTAATATGTTCAGTGAGTAGCTTGCTTTTCTTATTTGAAAATGTTTACAGCTAAATCTGGAGGTGATGTCTGAAGAGCTGGAAATACCCCAGAAGGTAAGAACGTGCTAAACCTGGGACAAGAGGTGTGGTAAGGGACACAAAAAGAAATTTTAAATTTAAGATGGGAGTTCCCCTATATAACTGCTTCTTTTCACATTACTTCAAGTCCAGTGGAAGAAATACTAGCTCTACATTTTCATTTCTCYTCAGAAAACCTGAAAAAGGAGTCCAGTACCTAATTGAGCGAGGTTTTGTGCCAGACACTCCAGTTGGCGTTGCCCACTTTCTCCTGCAGAGGAAAGGTCTCAGCAGACAGATGATTGGAGAGTTTTTGGGGAATCGGCAGAAGCAGTTCAACCGGGATGTCCTAGAGTGAGTATTGCATGGGGGCTGGAGCCACGTGTGCTTTAGTATTCAACTCAAGTGTCTCATGAAGCTGATGTTGGTTATGTTCTCTGAATGTTTTGTTCATGACTTATGAATATTTTCCTAAAGGAGGGGAAAAACAAACTCTATGAGATAATAAAGGAATGACTTATAAATCTCTCTATATTTCTTCACTTTCTACTTAAGTTACTGTTTYTCTGACGCTAGTCCAGGAAGATGCTTACAAGGATTTATATTCTCTGCAGTCATGTGAATATACCCTTAAGTTTATGTGTTAATTCCACTGAGGTAGAGTATGCATGTTGTTAAAAAGCATTTTTTCTTACACAAGCTCTGCAATGATTTACTGAATGAAACAAAATAACATTATATGCAACATAAAGCTTCATCAGGAACAACATGAAACTAATTATTACAGTTTCAGAAGCATTTATTATTATTTTATTTAATTGTCTCAGATCTTAGAAAAGCAGGGATTTCAGTATGTAGARTCATATGTAAACAAGATCTGTGCAAACTGTTCTTTTTTCAAAAGAATAGATAAACAAAAACTGATTTAAAAAAAAGAAATACCAAGTGCCGAATTAGATTTTCAGTAGTTTGGTCATACATTTTTGAACCTTACAGTTGACTGGAAGAAGAAGCTGCCTTGTTTTAAGAGAATGTTCATTTAAACCACTGTTTCTTTTCAGGACTTCATCATTTCAGTTCTTTCCACTACACAGTTCTCTGTAAGAATTCAGAAGAGTAGTACAAGTAGGGCAGTTGTAGAGAAGGTTGCCTGACCTCTCTAGAAACTAGAACTACTTTATACAGTTATATGTTTAAGAGAAAGCTTTAAAAACTAGATTGTTCACTCTCTCCATACTTTCTGTATTACAGTGCTGCTACTTGAAGTGATTCATGTCTAGTTATTTAAGAACTAAAAGCCAAATTAAAAAGGAAAACCATTTATAAGCTTTTGATTTTGAAGTGGTCTTTAAACAAAGTATTGGAATGACATAGTTGCCATCATTGCTTGTTAGACTAGTTCCTGTTTTATTATTTGTCATCACAGAGCAAGGAAGTAATTCTTCTTCCATACATGTTAACCAAAGAATATGGCAGTGAGAGGGTTATGAGAAATGCAGTGTTACAGTCCTCAAAAGAATTTTTTTTTTTTATCCTCAGTACCTGAGAACATTTCTAGACACAAAACCATTTGGTGCAGGTTATTCTGCTTGCTGCTGACTGTTTAAGAGCTGATATTTCAAGCAGTATAAATTCGTTATTTATTACTATTATAGGCACTAAGTAGTAGTAATTGTTTAGTTTGAAAGCACAAAGCCARTAATTATTCATGTCAAAGACATGTCTTACAGGTCATACATTTGCAATTCCAGCAGCTTTGCTGTTGAAAAATAAATACAGGCCTGCATACATGTATACTTTTACATGATCTGTTTTTTGCAGTCCTTCCTTTGTGGTTTGCCTGCAGTTATTGCAATTGCTGCTGTATTTCAAAAAACACTGTGAGTTGGCTGCAAGGGAAGGAAAATTGAAGGATTTTCTTATCTCATAATATTCCCCTCTGTAGTCTATTGTTAGAAATGAAAGGACCCAATGGCAATATGTTTTTTTCCTAGCTGCGTTGTGGATGAGATGGATTTCTCAACAATGGAACTGGATGAAGCACTCAGGAAATTTCAGGCTCATATTCGTGTTCAAGGAGAAGCCCAGAAAGTTGAGCGGCTCATTGAAGCTTTTAGGTATGATGCCAAAATAATCCAGAACCAGGGAAGTTTAGTAGATCTATGTTATTTCCCTGTTTATTTGCACTGTCTTTGTGAGCAGTATACAGATTGAAATATAGCACATTATCAGTGCTACTTCTGCTAAACAGATCGTAGAAAGTTTTGTCTATCGGTGCTGTTCATGTATGGTGTTTATATTAATGTAGTGTGATTTCTCAATTAAATGCTCCCTTTGGCATTAATGAAAAAGATAAGCTTTTTTGCATGTCTCTAGTAGAATATATTTGTGCAAAAACTGTTTATCTTTATGTATATATTGTGACAACTTTTAATTAAGGTGTTCATTAAACAACAATAGTGAAATATATTGCATTAACTTACTAATGCTAGTGCAAGTTACTTTATCCAGTGCCGATATAAATCAAATTGCAGCAACAACCTAAAATCAATACTCTATTCTTACTTGGGGTCAGTAGGTATTACTTCATTATTATTAGGTGGTGGTGGTAGGATGGCAATTCATAGTTCCAGCAATCCAGATTAAAATGAAATACTGAAGTTACTGTAGCACAGGATCTATTCTAAGAAATGAAATTCTGCTTATGATGGAATGTGAAAGACTTGTTTTCTAGAACTGAGAGTTCTCAAGGGAGAGCCTTGAGGCAATGTCATTTGGTCAAGATTCCTAAGCTTTTCCCCTTGGTATTAGACAAGGGAAATATATTTATTTTCAGGCCGTTCAGGTGCAAGGAAGGGCCACACCAGGAGCGTTTGCAGGATGAAGCACTCAGGGACATTGTTTAGTGAGCATGGTGGTGACAAGTCTACGGCTCAACTCGATGATCGTGAAGGTCTTTTCCAGACATTGTGATTCTGTGACTGCCTTACAAAAACACATGAGCAGAAACCTTAGTCTATATATGGTGCACAAATAACAGCTTGCTCAGTCTCTGCATTGTAGCCATTGGTGTATTTGGTGGTAGCATGATAGCAGTTCTTAGTTCTGACAGCCTCTCTTTGCTTTTTACAGCCAACGATACTGCATCTGCAATCCAGGTGTTGTGAGGCAATTTAGAAATCCTGATACCATCTTCATTCTAGCCTTTGCTATCATACTGTTAAACACAGATATGTATAGCCCAAATGTGAAACCAGAACGCAAAATGAAGCTAGAAGATTTTGTCAAGAATCTAAGGGGTAAGCTCTTGAAAGCTTTTTTCTGTAACTGTCATTGGAGAGACACCGTGTATTTTCTGAAAAAAAGACAAATACAGAGGGCTGTTTTCGTTTGTCTTTTAAAAAGATTGTAATTTTTACAGGCTGTAGTTGTTATTTTTGGCAAAACGAAAATAGAATTAAGCATATATCTAGGCTCTACTGTCAGGTCCTTTTATTCCTAGTTCTTAAAATGTAGCTGAGAAGTGACCATTGCCTTGTATTCACAAATCTTTGCTATAATTGAAATTTGCCAAACTGAAAACCTTCACAAAGCCAAAGGGCAACTCATAAAGACAGCAGCCTTCATGCACATGAATGAAGTTCATGTTCTATTGCAATAAAGTTATTCTAAGAATGTGAGAGTATGCGAGTTTATAGATGTGTATATCTTTCTGTAGATAAAATCAGAGTCACTGCATGCTGCAGGCTATTTGTAAGAGGAGTGTGATTTCTAGAGCAGACTACGTCAGCGCACTGCAGCATACACTTACTAATGAATTCTCATGGAGGTGCTGTCTTCATAGTTGATAGATTTTAATTTCTCCGTAGCAGCCAGTCTATTGAGAGGATTATCAGATCTCTAGGCTGAAAAAAAACCAAACAAGTAAGCGTTCTCAAATATTATCCAAAATTGTATTCCAAAAGGAATCCCTCCTATCCCTCCTTAGTTGCAAAAGTGTTTTTTTATTATAGTGGGTTTTTTTATTTATTTCTTTAAGCAGACAAGTAGAAAGGGATTGGCGAGCTTTTGTCTCCTTGTTTTTACTAGTTACCAAGCTGGGACCCTAAGTACTGTAACAGCTTTCCATGTTTCCCATGTTCTCAGAGGTGCAAATCAATAAATTTGCTAGATGTTTGCAAATAAGCTGTTGAGACAGAAAACTTTCACTGGCTAAGACTTGGTGTGTATATTGAGGAACAGAAATCACTGTGCTGTAAAGATCACCTTTGGAAATAAACTGAAGACTGAGATTCACTGGGGAAAAAAAATCCCAATTCAACCCTCCTGGAAGGATTTGGGGATCCAGGATATACATTTTGCCTTAGTATCTTGATTAATATTACTTGTGATCAAGAAACCATTTGCCAGCCAGTGGCATGCCTAAAACTGTAGTTTCTTGGTCCAGATTATTGGCCCAAGCTTTTCTCCAAGTCTGTATCTCAGGTCTTTCTACAGTGATTCTTTTCGGATGACCAAGAGCAAATTTTTGTAAAGTACCAGTTTGGCCAGCACTCAATTGCAGCTAACAGAAAAAAAAGTCACTGTAGAGCTGAGGAGAAGGATGGTACATGAGCAAATACAACCTCTTGTGTTCCTGGGCACTCAAGGACGAATGGAGCAGATGACATCTGCCTCTTATCACAGAAGAATTCTCAGACGCAGGGGAAGAAAAATGAGGCCAAAGTCCCCAACCCCTTCCCTCTTTTCCTTTAAGGTTGTCTGTGCCTGTAGGGGGAAAAGCAGCTTTTATTACAGTTCCATTATCGTGTGTTTGTGCAAAAGACAGGGAARTTGCCTGCTCAGTGGTTGCCATCCTGTCCTGCTGCCCTGCTTTTAGGCACAAGGACAAGTGCAGCCGCCTGCACGTCTGGCACTTCTGCTGCGGGAACGCTGCCCGTAGCAGCACAGGCCGCTGCTGCTCACGCCAGCACACGTTAATATAGTGCTTAAAGTCGTCAGCTGGGTGATACTTACAAGTGAGCATAACAGCAGAAAGAGGGAATGGACTTGCTTAATATGTAAAAACGTATTGTCACATCTCAGGTGCATGACTGTTTATATTCATGTGCGCATGCGATAATTTAGGGCCAGTGAAAGCAGATAGTTGTATTGATCTGGTATTTTGGATCATGAAAATGAAATTTCTGTTTTTTGATTTTATTTCCTTAAATCTGCAAGAAATCAGTGAGTGATCTGTTTGTATTAGAAGCTTCAGTTTAGCAAAATTTAAGTTAATTGTGAGATTTTAAGTCTGCAAAGACATTTTAAAAATGGCCTGATGTTTTTCTCTCACAGTAATGCTATAGTCGTGTTCTATCCGTACTCCAGCCTGAATGCCAACAGCTCATTCTTGCAGAGAATTTTCTAACATGCTACCTTGCCTTAACTTTGAGTGGATCTCAAAGGGTGGTTTGTCACACATGTGCTAATGTGCAAAGGATCAGCATCTCGGTGCTGAAGTGTGGGAGTGGGAAGTGTGCTGGCTTCAGAGCTGCAGARTAACCTCATCTCTGCCCCTTAGGAAAGGCGGCCCCGGAGCTGGTGGGAGATGTTGCCTTGCAGAGTCCTGGGCAGCGTTGGCTCTGCTGTTTGCAGAGCAAAGATTGCCCTGTCCTTGTCATGTCCTTGCTGAAAAGCCTGTGCTGCAGAAAGGGGCTAGGATTTGCTATCTGGATCACTGAAAGCCCAGTTAGTAATAAAACCTGTTGACTTCTGCAGGCGTGGATGATGGAGAAGATATCCCACGGGAAATGCTCATTGGGATTTACGAGCGAATCCGCAAACGGGAACTGAAGACAAATGAGGATCATGTATCCCAAGTCCAGAAGGTTGAAAAACTCATAGTAGGAAAGAAACCAGTAAGTTCGTTTTGCACTGTCTGACAGAGCTAAAGAGCTGTGGGTCAATGTTCAACACAGAATGACACAGAAGTGTATTGCTTAGAACCATAATTTTGCTAGTAGGTGGCAAAAAGTGGGACTGTGTTGAAATAATAATTTGCTATAGAGTGTTTTTTAATTTTGGAGCATTCACAGTGCAGATGAATCTATTGTTGCAGTTTGACATTCATTAATGATGAGATCCTGAGTCTTTTTTTTTTTTTTTTTTTTTCTCCCAACATTTTCTCCCTGCAAAGCTTTACAGTTCTGGAATTAGGCTATAAAATGCCTGTACTTCAGGCATCTCTCATCTTTGTTTCAAGAAGATTGAAGTATCTTACTGTGAAGCGAACCTTTAGAGAGTCATGTTTCCACATTTATGCTATCAGTTATGGCTCCATAAGTTACAAGAGTAATAGAAACTTTTATTCATATCAGTGTCTCACAGCCTTGCAGCTAGCTCAATAAAGGGGTGTTTAAAAGAGAAAAGACTGTGTGCAAGAAGTGTCATTTTGCCTGAGAACTTATCGGGAAATAAAGTCTCAGCAATTCTAATGCTGGTTTTGATTTGAGCAGCTCACTTGTTCTCTTTCTGACTGCCACATTCTCTATAATTGGGATATTTATTTTCCAAAGATTTCCACAATTTTACATGATAATGTGGTATCTAGTGTTAAGAGTGACAGCGGATACTCAGCTTTCCTACATTTTGCTCAAATCTACCTGATTGTAGTTAAAACAGCAGCCCAGAACAAAGAACAAAGACTGGATATGGCTCTTCCTAATTTTTCCATCATTTTTTTATCAGCTTGTCGATTTTTTTCTGCAGTACAGACTGAATTAAGAGCGAGGATCTTGGAGTCTCGCTGAGGGTTCTCACCAGTGGGGAGGAGAAACAAGACCACCCCAAAAAACCCAAGTTATTGGTTTCASTCTCTCAGTGAAGGAAGATTGAAGAGATCTCCCAGGAGAAGCAGAGGAGAGAGAAAGCAGAATTACTTAAACTAATAAAAGCTTGCTATATGTTTGAGAGGAGAAAGGAAAAATATTCTAAATTGCTTATGTTTTCATGTGAAACTCATTTTCCATAATTGTTCAGAGGTTTAGCTTTATATATGAGTTTCTGTGAGAAATTATTTTTTCCTGCTGCCTGTTTTATTCAGGCATGTCACAGTCTATATTCCGAGATTAATTTTGACCTTGTAAATTTAATGAGATTAAGAAAAAAATACCCTGGATGAGCTCATAAGAACAAGGGCTCTTCTGTTGAGATACTTTCTAATTATGTGAAATTATTTAGGAAAGAGACAACAGTGTTTATTGATAGATATATTTGTTTTTACTTTATAGGCATTTAGTCATAGTAAGACCATGACGTATTTACTTGCTATGATACAATACTGTGTTTCTGTGAAGTTTAATGAACTTGTATATGTCTTTCTACTGTAGATTGGATCTCTGCATCATGGACTTGGTTGTGTAGGTATTTTTCTCATACTCATTCAAAGTTTTAGTCATGTTTATTATTTCTTGCATGCTTCAGTATTGATATGCTAAAAAAGGTATTGCAGATTAGTTCAATAGTTCCCCTGTGAAGGGGGTATGGAGCAAGGAACTGTAAAAACAAACCTAAAGATGCAACTCCTGTAAAATACAATGGAAAGGAATCCTACCAGATCATGTCTCATTCAGGTTTTTGTTGACTTGTTTCAAGTCAGGATCTTGCTCTAATTGTAAGTTCAGTGGCTACTCTTGCATTTTGTTATCTTGCAGTAGCAAATCTCAGGCAGRCGTGTGCTAGGGACACTAGCCCTGGAGATAGGGGAGCACAAGGAAAGGCAGCCTGTGTTCCTGTTCCTTTCTACTGAAGACATACATAAGCTGCTGCGTTACCAGCTCCGTCAACCTGCAAACAGAAACAATTTCTCCAGCATTCTTCTCTGCGTTAGCTCCTGCAGAACACACCTCAGAATCTTGTAAATACCTTCTGGCATGTTCAGGGAGAATGCACAACTGAACTAATATCAACAGGCAGCAGACAAAATGCTAAGAGCATTTAATTCAAAGCAGAATTCTCTTTTGTTTTGGGGGGAGGGAAGAGAAATGTCACCAAATGATTTGATAACTAGTCAGTAACAGATGTGTTTGGAATAAAATACAGGGCAGAGAGGGAAACCTGGTTCTTCTCTACTCCTTTTCTTCCTTTGCTTCTTTAGAGGAACTATATCTTCAGCCATTTTCCTTTGCCTTGTAAATCTCAGAATTCCTCCGTGCAGAATCAGATATTATAGACAAATAAAAGATACAGATTTAATATGTGTAGTTGCTAAAGAATACTCTCTACTGCCCATTTTGCAAAGTTTAAAAGAATGCTTATAATATTGTTGACAAGGTAACTTCATTTGCATTTAAAAGAATGAAGTCTTGGTAGGTTGAAGATAACTGTTTTTGTAGCAGAGTTCAGCAGATATTTCAAATAAATGAAATGCAAAATTATTCTCAGTTTTCTTACCAACATTAGAAAATAAGCTATCCTGAAAATGCATTTACCTTTTTTTTGATGTCACTTTGTCCACTAATCCTCATCCTGGGGAATGAACAAWTTGAATTAGTTCAGTGGCTGTCAAAAAGTAATCTACAATATCCATGTATTCATCATCATCTCACAAAACCTAAAGTCACTTTGCATCTCTTGTACAAATAGAGATATGTAAAAATTCTCAGTAAAGCAAGCGTATTTTGCTTTGAATTCTCACTTGCCTAAACTTACCTTATTTTGAGGTTTTATGACTATACAAACTGAAGTCTACTCCTATTCCTAATAAAACTTCCATCGACATCCATATTCAGGATGGGAGCTGTGGGAGAATGTTTAATATAAAGATATTATTGACATTGAATGTACTACAAGTGTGTGTGGCATATAAATCTGTGTTCTGTTATTGGTTCTTTGATGAAAAACAGTCTATTGGCCTTAGAGGTAAAGATATTTAAATTATTCAGGAAAAGATTCTAGAGGTGAAAGGCCCTCCTTGTCATCTAAACATTGTTACATTAACCATGAAYTTCTCTATTTTCATAGGTCCTCTCTTTGCCCCACCGGAGGCTCGTTTGCTACTGCAGACTCTTTGAAGTTCCAGATCCAAATAAACCTCAGAAGCTTGGATTGCACCAGAGAGAAATATTTTTATTTAATGATCTTCTTGTGGTACGTGTTTTCAAATTCAGTTTATATTTTTTGTTTTTTTTTTAAGATTACTTTTACTAATGCAAAGATTCAGAGAAATAGCAAATGTGTTCTATGTCATTTAACAATTTTGAATCTGCCTTAAACTGCATTGTATTAATAGACTTCTACTGCAGTTCAGGCRCTATATATGTTTGCGCTGCCAGTCCATAGGGGTGGATAGTCTTCTAGTGAGATATTCAGAAATGATTTTCTGTCTGAAATAAATGGGAATCAACTGCACATAGACATTTCCAAAAATAAACATCTGTTACCCGTTAATCTGTACCATAGACATATTAAGTATATATTAATTTCATAATATAATATTTGTTATAAGAGTTATTAAATTAGCTTTAGAGTTCTCAAAATGAATTTTAGAAAATAAAAAATTTGAGTTATTTGCATGTATTTTGTAGTACAGTAAATTATACCTGGGAAGTCTGAAAAAAGCAGTTTTGAATATGTAAATTTGAGTGACTATCACATATCAATGGTCTTTGTTGCTTGAGTCTTTATTAAAGGTTTACTTAATCATATTATGTTTAGCTATTTATTTTAAATATAGATACATGGTGATTTAGGAAAATCTAGAATCTGAATTATGTTACTGTTGGCACATGAGATGTTTTTAAGCCTTAAATAACCCGAGAGAGAGTAATATTTAAACTTTCTTAAATATGTAAGAGATTTGCTTTGATACTGAAGCCTTTATTAATTGCTGCATCTGACTATAAGAAAATGCTTTGGTATAATAGTTTTTATCATAAAGACTTCTTTTTCCCCAGTTTATCCAAAGAATATCTCTGTTCCATGAATAATGAATTTAAATGAGTTACTTGTGGAAAAGAAAGTTAAAATCTGCATATTGATTTGTACTCCATAGATGCTTTATGAGCCAGACATGTTTATTCACTGGAATACAAATTAGATGTGTTGAAATACATTTTATAGTTCACTTTCTGGTGTATATTTAACCTGACCCAGCCTTTCGAAAAACAGGCATGCAAGGCTAGTGACAGCTTGGAATTAYTTGGTTGGTCTCCTCTCGAAAATAGGGAAATTGATTGCACTCTGTTTGGAATGTGTTTGACTGTTACCTGGAGAACTAAGAAGATAAATATTTCATGTTTTATTATGAAAAAGGCAGATGTCAGATATGCATTTTTATTGTGCATAATTTTTACATATGCTCAAACATTAATACCAGGAAGTAAATGGAAAAAAATACACCCSTTTGGTTGTGAGTGCAGCCTTCCAGCTGTAAAAGTGAACTCGAGCATAAATTGATGGAATRCTGTCTTCCTCGGGCTGCAGGCATTGTGCTCTTTTGTATTGCATATTCAGTTGCTAGTAGTTTTATCAAACTCTTTCAGAAGTAATACAGACTCATTTGGTCAGTGCTAGCTAAGTGGAACCCCACACCCAAAAGTTAATATTAGCTAGAACTAGTAAAAATAAGCTTCTGAGCAACATAAACTTCTGAGTACTATAGACAGAATTGCACCCACTGTRCAGAACCCAGGAAATGATGGTAAGTAGTAGTATGCTACTCATACTGAAGGAAAGGATAAAGTTTTTCAGTGAATTTAAAGCTATTATTGAGATAGGTGCTGTACAAAGCAGGAAAAATGGAGCATCATTAGATGTGATAAAGTACAAGACAGTAGTTGGAGGTGCACAGAGGCAAAGCTGGCTTGGAAGAAGATCACACAGCAGCTCAGAAGAGGAAAGTAAGCTTGTGTTGAGAGGTCCTGTCATATCTATAGCTTTACCGTCAGAAAATGTGAAAGAGGTATGGCAGCAGTTAGTTTTTTAAAAACATAATTTAAACATATTTCCATTTTTGCATTATTGATAGCATGTACAGTGCACAAAAGTATGCAGYCTTTTTTATTTTTTCCCTTGARTTTCAAGAAGTAAGGTCCTGGAAAGAGAAATCTTGTAGGTGTTTACATCTTTGTAAGGTATTAAACATTCTTGCCAAGAAATATTAACACTTCAGAACTATGTCCTTTTAATAATAAAGTTATTGATTTTGATATTGATATTGATTATGATAAAGGAGATTGTATGATAATTTTCAGGTGACCAAGATCTTTCAAAAGAAGAAGAACTCGGTTACATACAGTTTTCGACAGTCCTTTTCCCTCTATGGAATGCAGGTTCTTCTTTTTGAAAACCAGTGTAAGTCTGTCTTCCCTTTTAAAATGGTCATTTTATTCAAGAATAAAACAATTGAATTGTGTGCATGAAAAAAAAAAAGACAGGAACTTGATTCAAAGTGGAGGAATAAAATTGCTGTGAGTTGAATTAGCCCTAAAGCTTAAAGCAAACTGCTGTTAGCATAGGAAACAGCAGGACTGCTGTTAGACTTCTGGTTGTAGCCAGAGGCCAAGTATAGGTGTGTGTGGATGCTTGTGAAGAGMAGAATGTTTGCAGAGAAAACTGTAGTGTGTCTGTTGCTGAACCAGTGGTACAGTAACCAGTGCTGGAAGTGAATGTATTAAAATAATCTCTGTAAGGATTGTGTAATTCAAGTCACTACTACTTTTATTTTCTTGATTTACAACTTCCCCTTGTACCTAGATAATGTATATTCATTGTAATGTAAATACAAAGCAGAAACAGAGAATCTGTATTCAAGCTTTTATTTTCTGCCCCACAGTGTTGATTATAATCTGCATCAATCCCATATATGTTTTCTCCTTTTCTAGGAGATTATAATCCAAACAAAAAACAAATATTTTGCTAATGCTCCTGAGACTCCAGAGGCAATATCCATAAAATGTAGCAGAGAGTAGCTGTCTGGTGCCTAGGTGACAGTCTGTTTGACATGACTTCATGGCTTATAACCCAAACCTTGACCTTGATGATAAATTGGATGGTATTCAGTGTGACATTCAATAGTTCCACTGCTTTTCTGTTGTGGCAAGCATTTAGTTTTTGGTTGTCCTTGAGAAGGTGTTTCAGTGGCTCATAWCCCTGAAGAGAAGCTACTGTATTTTATGAGTCAAAGCATCTGGAGATTTCAAAAGGGAAGATGTTGTTAAGCTTGTAGCAGCGGTGTAGCCTAGAGATTATTTATGTGCATACACATTTACTCTGCCTCACATGCACACATTATGTAATGCAAAATTCATTTCTAAAGTGCACTACCAAGTAGTTCTATCCTTGCTTCTACTATAAATAGAAGTCTATATATTTCCTTTGAAGTTAAGCTTAAAAAATAAGGGGGGAGAGAGGAGTGGAGGGAAAAAAGGACAGCACAGGGAGCAGGGAAGCTGAGGGTACTTCTAGCTATGCAGGATGGCAGAAAGCAAAACATTTTTCCCCTCCAGTTTGTAAAATTCCTATTAGCAGCTCCCCCTGCCCTCAGTGGCCTGACCAGCGCAGCCGAGGTACCCAGCAAATGCRAGGGGAGCAGCTGCTTGCAAGTGCATGAAATGCAGGGTCACTAACACAGAAGCAACAGAAGTATTGATTTGGCTGCTGGTTAGTTGACCCATGGTAACGGTGCAGCTTTGCCTGCAGTCACCACCTTGCCTGGCTGTCTAGTTTCAAAGGTGGCATTATATCCTTTCTAGCAGTATGAGGTCTATATGTGTAGGCTGAGCCCTTCCTGTAACTCGCCTGGCATCAGATACTGCTGTATTTCTGGCTCTCAGCTACGTGGTGCCTGGCAGCAGCTGCAGACATCTGGAGGCAGCTGCCTTGTCCGACTGAGCGCGTCCTCCGGAGCGGATCCGCGACGGCGTCGCCTCAGGGGTAGCTCTGGGTAGTTGCCTCCGGATACCTTTCTCACCTGGGGACAATAAATGGACATGCTTTGCCTTTAATTTTACCTCTATGATTTGGAAATGAAGCCATCTTTTAAAAACAGCGGTGTTTGCACTTGTTTCTCAATAATTTTAGGCTGTGCAATGTTGAAACCTAACAGACAGCTTTGAGAAAAAACACTGCACTACCTTATCTGCTGGAGCCTGCATGAACTTTCAGTATATGAGAGCTCTTGAATTTCAGACTGAGCATTTAAGTAAACACTTGAGAGCAGGAATAAGGTCAGGAGCTTCATGAGTTATAGTTTGCATTGGGAGTTTTTGTGCTTCCTTGTGCTTCTGCAACTCGAACAGAAACTGAGTCTGTTTTCTAGGGCAGAAAAAAATATTCACTATAAATCATTTTCTCAGGTGGGAGATTTTTTTGACCAATTGTTAGAATTGTTATTCTTAGATGTGTAGCTAGAAAAGAGATGAAGACCATTTGCAGAAAATTCTCWCTTCTGCTGTAAAAATGTCTGTAATGTGTGCCACCCTTCCTCAGTCTGTAGCTTCATAAATAATTTCTGAGTAAAAAAAGAAAAAGAAACAAAAACAGGATGAATAGAAAACAGAATTTGATATGAAATAGTAAGTCATATGCTAGTGTGTTTTCTCCGTCTTCTTTCAAACATTGTTAGAAAAACACAAAAGTTTCCAGTACTTGAGATATATTTGAGAAGTCTTTATTCAGCAAAACTTTGATGCATAATTGATTAAAAGAGTGGGATCAATTGCATTAAACAAAAATTATCTGCTTCCTTCAATTTTTTTCTTCTTTTTTGGAAGATTTTTCTTTTGAGTACATTAAGGGCATAAAGGTTCACAATCTTCAATATTTATGACCTTGCATTTAAGAAGTACAGTTGTATGTTACAGCTTTTTCACTCTACTTCTATGTCCTTTGACTTTTTTTCTCTGTTTTTGTCCCCCTATGATAATACTTGTAAATAGTCTTTTGGCTTGAAAAAGAAAAGAAAGGAAAAAAAAGAAAATAATTGAAGTGGTCAGGGCTTCAATAATCATGTCTTTTTATTGATATTCTCTGTTCTAGATTATCCCAATGGTATCCGGCTCACRTCAGCTGTTCCAGGAGCAGATATCAAAGTACTGATAAATTTCAATGCGCCAAATCCTCAGGACAGGAAGAAGTTTACAGATGATTTGAGGGAGTCAATAGCAGAGGTCCAAGAAATGGAAAAGCACAGAATAGAGTGTAAGTACAAATGTATATATAATAGAGCATTCTCAATGTAGTGAAAATTGGAACATCTTCAATCGTATAATTTTAATCCATTAAARCTCTTTAGATGTTCAAAATAGTGGCTTTTTTTTCATGACTTCAATTCTAGAAAGAGGAAAAACCCAGTGATCTGTAAAGCTCCAGGTGAGTTTATTGATGTTTATTTAGTGCACKGTAACTGCAGTTGAAATTTAACATGAACAAACAGCAAAGAGTAGTGAATAGAGGAGRGATAGATTTGCAATTTGTAGTATAAATTACAGTAAAAAAATAGGGATAGTTTATGTGACACTGAAACTTTACATGATGGTCCTTCAAAGAAATTCATGGCATTTTTCTTCACTTCTTTGCTTATATTCTCATATTTTGTCAATTAACTATAGAACAAATCCACATATTTTGCTGGAAATTACATGACTGTTTAAACGGACAGTTTTTCCAACAGAGGAATAGCCTTTCATCCTTTATGTTCTCTCACAAAGCTTTTAGGAAAGGAACCAACTTCTCCTAGTGTTTAGCAGTTCCAAAATGAACTCTTCTAAATTGATAATAATACGTGCTCCCAGACAGAAATTGTGCTGCTGAATCGCACTGTTATTCTCTTTCAGCTGAGCTAGAGAAGCAGAAGGGAGTAGTGCGCCCAAGCATGTCTCAGTGCTCAAGCCTCAAAAAAGAGTCTGGCAACGGGACCCTGAACAGGGCCTGCCTGGACGACAGCTACGCTACCGGGGAGGGGCTGAAAAGAAGTGCCCTGAGCAGCTCCCTCAGGGACCTCTCAGAAGCAGGTAAGCACGACCGTTGTTTCCCTGCCCTGACTAGTGCATGTAAAGGCGTGTGGATGACACATATAAAAGTGCAGCTCACAGTGGACCATGAGAACTGCTAATACTGAAATCTGAAACATTTTTAATAACTCCTCTTTGATAGCTTGTGTCTAATTTGTTTGTTTTTTATTCTATTGAGCAACCGTGATTTGAAAGCATTTAAACCATTTTAGATTGCTATATATACTTTTAAAGGAACTTGAAGACAGAGGAAAAATTGTAAGTGTTCTATAGAAAAAAAGTGGTTGGTTAATTTGTGGTAGGAGGTGCCCACTAGTTTTCTTTTCTTTCTTCCTCCTCTTCCCTTTTCCCCTTGATACAGTARGCTTAGAGAGAAAAAAAAGAAAAAGTAAAAAACCTGTGGTCTCTGTGCAATGACTGCTTTCTGTGTATTTTTGTGCTCAAGTGTACCTGTGTTACTACATTGATGAATGAAATTGAGTGAAGCCCTGCTAAATTCTGCTTAGAGCTAAGTAATTCAGTTACACTATGTCACTGATAACTCTTATTGTTTTGCAACTCAAGATAATAATTCTTGCAAATGCAGCTGTGTTTGAAGTATTACTGTCAATGTAATAAAAGAAACCCAAGTAGACAAAGAATGCTGATCTCTCCCCCTCTAAGACTGCTGTGTCTTAAACTTATTAACTCATTAATRTCACTGAGGACTGGAACGGAGCATTGGTGTGATTTGCTTACGAAAATTGGAGGAAGTTTAAAATTTAATTGGTTCTCTTATACACAGCTGGTATACCCACGTAACAGAGGCTGCCACAGGTAATCCTGTGTTCCAGTGTTGTATACACAATGCCTCTCATTGCAAGAAGTCATACCTGCACACCGTGCTCACTATTCAGAAAATATTCCTGGGGACAGTATCAACTAGATATCTATTTGTTTATTTTAGTTCATACGCAGTGCTACATACTCTACTTTTTTCCCATTAATTGCAGTGATGATTTACAATATAGTCATGGTTTCAGTACTACATATATCTTTGGTAATAGACACTTCCCCTCTTTTCTTTTTTTGTATTTGAAGAGGAGATTTTAGCTATGCTGCAGTAAATAAAATCTTTATAAACTGAAATGATAGCCTGTGTTTTGTGGGTATATGTATGTGCATACAAATATGTAGAGAGTGAGTTCTTTCATCAGTTGTGTTTTATTCTCTGTTTAGACTTTCATACTCCTTTTTCCATGTTTCCTTTTAAAGACCTAGGACCTTGCTCCAAAATCATATTGAAGTTGGGAAGTGTTACTTGACTGACTTCAATGGATTTTAGATCAAGCCACCAATCTTCACCATTATTGTATCTCAGATTCCAGAATATTTCCATCATCTCTTTTGGTTGTTTTGTTTTCATTTCATGTGATCTAGAACTGCCATATTGTTGAATATGTGAGTTCAGTGGGTATGTGTACCCATAATGGTGATCCATGATTATTTTTTTCTTCTCATATAAATTTTTCATCCCTGTCTTTCAAACATTGCTCTCTGTTTAAATTCATGTTACAGGTTTTATGCAATAAACAAGTATTTGTAATCATGAAAACATTTCATGTTTCTACAGCACATGCCTAAAACTGGCATGCTCCTTACTGAAATTAACGCTTTTCCATAATAAGTAGAGATCACAGACTAGAGGGTTTATCAATGAGTTTGTTAAACCCAACTAAACTTAATTTTAACTTTAACAAGTTGAAAAAAATTATGGAGAGTTTCTGTTTGGTCTTGTGCAGTGCAACTGACTTGAGCAATGCCATTCCTGTACCTTGCTTTGTGACTTGTTGTAGCGATGGTAATAAGGTGTTTCTTCTCCTTTTCTCCATGAACAGCTTGCATGTGAGGTTGACATTGCTTTAATATGGGAGAGATGATCCATAGGAAAACAAAACAATCACTTCTATTAGCAAAACACTGTGCCTGAGCGATTACACCATATTAAATTATGTCTGTAAAGGTGTACTGAGTAGATTGCCTCAGTTCTTTTTTTTTTTTTTTTTTTTTTTTTTTTTTTCTTTTGTGATATGAAACACAAGATTGAAAAGGAGGAGGATCAGGAGTAGTGGGGCAGTGTGTATTTGTCTTGCAGTAGGAAATAAGCTTATGAAAATGGATTTTAGAGTTCCATTCTATATTAACAAATAAAAACGCTAATTAAAGTGAACAAACTGCCTTGCTGCATATGTATGCAGTAAGGCAGATAATTGCCCAGTGAACACTGCAAAAACAAATGGAAAAAAATAAAAGATTAATTCAATGAAGCAGAAAGCCGACTGAGCAGCACGCTGGTTGCATGTCTGCATGACAAAACTTTTTACGAAAAGAGTCCGTTACTGCCTACCAGATGACTTGGTAGTAAATAGTGGCTGTGGAAATTGGCTTCCCTTCTGGAAAAGAATGAAGATTGGTGAGCTGTTTTGCTCCAGTGAATCTTGTTTTCCAGAACAATTTGGAAAGGCAAGATTTCTCTGTCAGAAAACCAGTATCAGGAGTTGTTTTCTGATATTTTTCCATGCTTTTGCTGGGATACCTTAGGCCACAATTGCAAGAAGGGCATGAATGAGGAGCAGGGTTTTAAGCTAGGGCAATTCTTTGTGGATTGGCATCTGTTTCCAAGAAATAAAAAGCATAAGTGGGAAGTGGTCATGGACTGTGTTCCAAGATGTGATTGAGTCGAAAACAGTTAGTGCTTTATTCTTCTCAAAAGAAAATTGTCAGCATCATTTTTATTACATGTAGTTGAGCTGTAGATAAGGAAGAATTGAGTTCATTCAAGACTTTGGGACTCTTAATACACATAAAAATAAAAGTAAGATTTTAATGCAGTTTTTAAAAAGGGTTCTGCCAATTCTAGTAGAACTAGTGGATCCTTTCGCCACTTGCTCCATTTCTGATTACCTGATTTGTGTAAATCAACTAGTCATTGATACGCAGGGGGAATGGTTTGGTTGCTAAAGCGCAGGCTGGATGAGTTTCTGATTCAGTATGTAGAGGGTTACTTGGCTGATATTAGACTATTACCTGAATTCCAGTGGTTGTGAGTTCCTGCAGGACCTAATGTGATAGCAGTGAATGGTGTGAGCACTCCTGGAATTTGAGCTTTATTCCCTTTGCTCCCAATTTGTGAAGATAACACTTGCATGCTGCATTGCATTAACAGTGGTAGTGTATTGGAATCTGCATAGAAGTGAAAGGCGGTATAAAGGTCACTGTGAGTAGAAGTTCTTCTTGTTTCATAATCTGCTGAGCTATCTCAAATAATCATATCATATATAATCACAGACCAGTTTTGACTACTTTAAAAAAAATCAACCTGAAATAGTCCAAACATTAAAATAAGTTTGTTATTTGTATATTGCATATAATCTAATTTCTTGGCTTTGAACTTTTAAAGCATTCTTTCCTACCCTCAGGGGAAAAAAGCATCTTTTTCTTTTTTTTTTAATTTTGAACTATTTCATTTTTTTTTTTTAGTTTCCTATATCCCAAAATGTATCAGAAAAGAGTGTGAAACTTTGTTACACTGTAAATCCATTATATAGACTCTGATTTCATGCAATTGCAGAACCCCTCCATGTGTTGAATCAGTCTGTGATGGGCTGGTGCAGTCCCTTGGCTCCTCCCTCATCTGATGCAGGCAAGGCTCCAAGCTTCCTCGCTCCTTCCTCTCCCATGGATTTTGCTGCTCTGTGTAGGACAGGGGACATTAGCATGCTCTGGCTTCATTACAGGAGCTTCCTAAGGAAGCAGGAAGAGATTTTCCTCTTCCCTTGTCGCTGGTGTTAGTTACCTTCCCTTTAGTGGCAATATCAATAGAAATSGCCATGAGAAAGTTTGTTGATTTCTTTTTTCTTATTTTTTTTCTTTTTTTAAATAAAGCAGATTATATGAAACTATTTTTTTTGGTGATACCTCCATGTCAATACCAAATCATTCTCCAAAGATGTTATATAAAGGTATCCCTGAGTGTTTGTAACTTATGGAAGGAGTTCAGCAGCTGAGGTGTCATTACGTTGTCTCCTTGTTTCCTGGGGTTCACCAGGGTCTTGAGGAGGATCTGCTTGCAGATGCCAGGTCACTGCTTTCGCAAGTGGCGTGGTCTCTCTGCCTGATAACTGTCTCATCCAGAGAAAGATGAAAACATTAAAGGTCCCAAACCATCTTTTCACTGTGGAAAGCAGTCTCTCTGAACTTTCACACACTAAAATATCACGCACTATGMCTGGAGTGTGTTGATGAAATACTTCAGAGTGCAGTGGGTTGTGCTGTAACCCTTAGCTCTGCAGCTACAGGTTCTGCTGTTGGGAAGGCCAGTTCCGCAGCAAGGGGCATGACTCAGAAGAGCTGCTAGATTAGTTTGCTTCAGCAACAACATCATTTAGAGCTCTCCCAACCTGGGTTTGCCAAGAATTACAAAACAAATCATAAGAACTGTTTTGGATCTGTGTGTCTCTCATTGGAATATAACAGATTTCCAAGTAATGCAGTATAGAAAGAAAACACTAAGAAAGTAAATATTTAACATTTCCTGAAGTGATATTCAGACCTGAAATCGCTTGCTTCAAGGTAGATTTAATGGATGAAATACTGAATATTTTCCAGGAGTTGTTAAAATATTTACATGAAATATTCTTAGTCCCATACAAGTCATGTACATATATGGGATATACTTCCCAGAAAGAATATCAATATCTAACATCAGTGGATTGGTTGAATGAATCAGAAGAGGTTAAAATAACTTTAGTTTTATAAAAAAGAAATGAAAAAGTACTCTAAAGAGTCTTCAAAAATAACAAGTTGAACAGAATATATTACGCAGAATTGGTCTTCAAATTTGGTAAATACCACCTTGCTTTATATTGCAGTGGTTAAGAATTGTGATAGCAGAAAATTAGGTTTACATAGGAGAACGTTAGTTGAGAGTTACCATTTTCCTGAAAGGCATTTGAACCCTGCAGCTCTAGGGAAAGGTTTTTGAGACAGGATGCCATCTCAGAGACCAGAGAACAGTCTTCTATAAACATATGCTGGCAAGGGGAGTGCTCTAGAGGATTTAGTAAATAGCTTTCATATCACACTGTAAGCCAATACAGAAATTGGAGGGATTTTTTTTTATAGGATAACAGTTTAGCTCTGTTTGCAGTAATAGTGCATAACTAAGGGAAATTAGAGACATTTAAAATACGATTTTCCTTTTGTTCTTGGCTTTGATAGCACTTCTGTGCCCTGAAGTTATTTTAAGCAAATATCCATCTGTCTCTTTCTGTCTATACATATACTCTGCTCAGAGTTGTTTTATTAAACTATTTTGACTTCAGCCATATGCAGAAGACATTAGGTTTTCCTATTTTTCTTTATTTGTGGCCATATTTAATGATTTATGGCAACTGTCAGTCTCATTTACAATATTTACTGTTAAGTTAGGAGATGGGCTTCTTTCTCTGTGTTCATGTATTGGCAGCAAGAGTGATTTCAGTGTTAGCCAGTATTAGTTCTATTAGCAGAACAGAAAAAGATCAAAGGCTGACAAGAAAAAAGACAAGAGATTATCAAAKCTACTCAGTTTTTCTTGGTGGTGCCACAGTTTTTGGTCAGACTAAAAGTGCAAGGAAGGATGAGCCACAAAGCATTTGACAAAGAGCCTATCTAGGAGACTTGCTCATTCTCCAATAAAATTGCAAAAAGCAACAGATGTCATGTGGCTTTTGGTCTTGTAAAGATAAGGGCATGTGGCTTTACAAGGTCAGTGATGCTCAAGCCTTTGCATTAATCTCCAGCAGTGCCTGTTGGAGCAGAAGGTGGAAGGCAGTGATGTTCCAGTGCAGGGTGGAGATTGACCCTGATTTTGGTCTTGCGGGAAAGCACTGGCATTGAGGGAGAAGGTGTGGTCCTGAAATCACTCTTAGAGAAGCTTTGAGAACTTGGCCTGTCTTCAAAGGTTAGCTCTGTTTATACACCGCTCCAGTGAAATATTTTTAAACTTTCCAAAGCAATGCTCAGCAAACTATCCTCTCAAAAATATCTACTGTTACTTCAGCCACATGTTCTCTCTCCTGTGAAATGAGAAAAAATCTGGGATCCTGTGTCCTATATATAACCACTGAGGTATTCTAGTTCTTAAACAATCAGTCTGATGTTTCATGTATAGCTTTAGTCAGACTTTGGCAATCTGAGAGTGTTGCAGTAAGCAGCACATTGATCGTAGTGAAACATAAATGCACTGCACAGCTAAACAAACAAAATCTAGCCATAATATCAAGAGAGATTCAGATTTTGTTGATCAAAAATTAAGTTTAGTTTTTTCAAACATCATGAAAGAAGACTATATGAAATCCACTGAGGTTCAAAATTGGAGGTGAAATGATAAAACTCTTGTCCCTTGCCATTCCCTCACAGTGAAGTTCAGAATAGGCTAATATTAAATTATATCTTCAAAGTAAGACCACCTCACAAGTGTGTATTAATACCGTCAGTGTTTAAAGAAAAAAAATGATAGAGAATTAGTTTCTAGGAAATCAAGCAGCCTAAAATCCTAGCTGATCAACATCATTACCACACTGTTAAGTATAGATGTTAAAGTACGTGTATAGTAAGAATTGTACAAATAAAAGAATCAAACTCCAGCAATGAGAGATTTTTTTCTTAAAAGTTACAGTCAGGTACAGAAGCTCACTACAACTAATGGCCCTAAAACTTAAAATTTGGCCTTAAAATTAAAGTTTTTGCTGTAGTCTCTGCTGTCCCAGTCCAGTGCAATGTGAACTCCCCTGCAGCCCCTCTAGTTGCATTTAGAGACTCCTCTAGTGATTGAGGGAAAGCAGCTGTTTTTCACCCGGGTCTTGTCTCAGTCTCTAATCTATGGTGTTGCATGTCCTGGGCAGGCAAGCGTGGGCGACGCAGCAGTGCAGGATCGCTAGACAGCAATATGGAAGTAAGTAGGAAGTTACTGATGTCTAGCTGGATGTGATGATGTGCATTTCAAACCTTTCTTTTATATACATATTTTTTTGCTCTTTTTTCTTCTAACATATAACCTGCCTGCCTCAAAAAAAAAAAAAAAAAAAAAAAAAAAAAAGAAAAAAAGAAAAGAAAAATGCATGCCTAGGCTACTCACTTTGTATTCCTCCAGCTTAAAAAACACTGACAGCTTGTTTTAGACCAATGCCATTTTTGATTTGAGCTAACCTTGTTTCCTTTGTTCCTGCAAGCATGGTTAAATGAATATGACATGTCCTTTTGCCGCCATTTCAGTCTGGTCCCAGCTTAAAAGCCCACTTGCTCTTTGTTACAGAAGTACACTGTTCTTGTTGTTTGATATTAGCTAAAATTATTGACTTTCATGCTCAACCATTCATATTGCTTATTTTCTAGTTAAATTGCTAATTGTATGCAGTCATGACACCATGGAATTGCACAGATAGGGCATGGGAGGAAAAAAATGAGTAAGATAGGTGAATTCAATGTGGATTTCATGAGATTTCATTCATCTTCAAACCATTTATATATATTGTTCATGTCTTTGAATTCAGCTTGCAGACTTTTTTTTCTTTTTCTTTTTCTTTTTTTTTTTTTTTCTTTTTTTTTTTTTGCTTTAGGTAGATTGCAGTTTACATCTAGCACACTTTGAATAAGTACTACTATGTCCTGTAACTGTCTTTACAAAATAGAACCCCCAAACTTTCAGAAACTAAATAGGCCATTTCAGGCTAACTAAAAATCCCCTAGAAGTCTTAGTGGCAAGGGTGATAGGGTTCCATTTAGCATACAATGTAGAGTAAGGCTTGACAAGCAGCACTGTGGTATATAGTAGTAACAGACTACTATAATTAAATTTTTAAAAAATGATTTTAAAATCTGAATTGTAATTGTAATATTTGCTGCTGTATGTTTAACTATTTAAGTTGAATTTAACTTCTTTTTTTTGTTAAAAAATCTGTTCTTTTAAAGTATTTTAGAATGTACTTTTTCTTTAAAAATGCACTTCTACATATTATGTAATGTTACTTTTAAATGACATTTTTCTTACTTCAAGTGGCAGCTTCCAGTATTAAAGTATTGAGAGAAAAACTATTAGTGCTTATAAAGATCCCAAGAAGGGCATGAATGCCTCATTGGCAGTTTAGGAAAGCTGGAAATAAAAATTCTCCTAGAACTCTAACATAGTCCACCCATGTGAGCACTTAAAGAGGAGTTTGTGGGTCAGTGTGAACTTTTTCTTTTAAACATTTTAAGATTTTTTTAATTTTTATTTCTATTAATTTCTTTTTAGGGGTCCATCATTAGCAGTCCTCACATGCGCCGAAGAGCTACATCAACCCGAGAGTGTCCATCTCGCCCTCACCAGACTATGCCTAACTCTTCCTCACTCCTAGGGTCCTTATTTGGTAGTAAAAGGGGAAAGCCACCTTCCCAAGGCCATCCACCTTCCCAAGGCCATCCGCCCTCTGGCTCATCACAGCAGCCTCCGCACCCTGCCGTGCTCCCACATCAGCAGCACTCTCAGCACCCGTCAGCCCTGCACCACGCAGGGCCAGCCGAGGGGCAGGCGCAGGCTCCCGTGCACTCGCATCACTCGCAGTACTGCCACATGCAGCAGAACCCGCCGCCCTACCACCACCACCACCACTACCACCCTCCCCAGCACATCCAGCACCCACACCAGTATCACCAACACGTGCCACATGTCCAGCATGCGGCACACTCCCCACATACCCCATACATGCAGCACCCCCATGGGCAACATTCCCACTCTGCACACCCTCCACTGCCGCCTCCACACTCATCTCATCCCCAGCACAGCCAGCATCACCATGGACCTCCAGCACCTCCCTCTACCACAGCCAGCACCAAGCCCAAGCACAGTGGCATCAGCACAATAGTCTAGAACATAATGACCCTCCCAATAACTATAGTTTTTACATACAGTTACAAAGGCACTTACAGGAGGCAACAAATAATGCTGTTGGTTTTTACACAGTTTAACTGAGTTGTGTGAGCTTAAAGGCTTGCTGATACTAAGTAAAATAATTCAAGTTAGGGCAGTCAATACCAGTTTTACTTAACCTACTTGTTAGATGCTTGCCACCTGATTAGTTATTCTTTCCACACTGCCTTGAAAACATGCTGCTTACTGAATATGAGTAAAGTTACCTTTTACACCAAATCCCATGACAATTTTACCTGCATAATAAAAATTTAGTCTATGAAAAAGGAAAAAAGTGATACAGAACAAGTGTTGCATTCTTGCTCTTTTATTGTCAATGGGCAAAAAAATAAGTAGACCTGATATGGTTGATGAAAGTACGTAAGTAAACTTTATATAATATAAATATATACATATAAATATATATATACTGTATAGTTAACATTTGTGCTTGGAAAGAAATTTTTCAGTCCACAAAACTAGCAATATAGACCTTACAAGGAATTCCACTTACTTGATAGGACAGTATAATAGATGAATAGCGTATGAAAGAGTAGACCAAAAATACTATATGTTAAAAACAAATTTCAGACATTTCAGTATTTTCATTAAAGGTCCTCTGGACTCACTGAGATTTCTAATCGTTACTAAATGTGCCAAGTAACATAGCATTTAAATGTTGTAGTCAAATACTGCTTTGTATAAATTCTTATTTTATTAACATGATAATATCATACGTAATCAGTATTATAACTGCTCTGCTATTTCAGGTAAGCAAACTTGTTAAGATGCAGTAGTTATACTGTAGCAATGTAGAATGACCATCTACCTGGGGTCATCTTTAAGCATTGGTCACACCAATTCTTGGACACTTTAAAGGCTGTAATAACTGTGAATTTACATGATCCACATTTCTTTTGTATGGATATGATTTAATGAACACACATGAAGAGTTGCAACAAGTGCATGTATACACTGCAAAAACATTCATCTCAAACATGAAATTGCAAATTTCCATCCTTCTCAGCTACTTTGTTTCCTGTTTGCCATAATTTCATATTTTTACCCCTAATTAAGCTGAATTCTAGTCTGAGAGTGTTTCCAGATGGAAGTGCTCTAAAACTTTAAGGTTTGTTTTAGATTTAGTATAGGGTTTTTATATATAAATATATAAATATATTTAAAAAATCTGTAATTCCATGTAGCCATGCTCTAGCAATGAAGTGGCTTCACCATTTTGACTCATCACATTTGTTAGTTTACAAGTACCCAGCACTCAGCAGGCTGAGTTTAAGCTCAAAACCTCACTTTCATAGCCCAGATACTTGTGAGACATCATATAAAAACAGGCTGTGCTGTTGTTGCTTTTGTGTTATAATGAAACCATTTGCAAATTTATATAAAATTTTTATCCCTAAATCCTGTACAAAGTTATACATGGCACCTACTTTGTAGTTTCAGCATTTTGAGCCACTGCAAAGACTTTACACCTAAACAATAGAAACAAAGGAATCAAAACTGCAAAACTGAACCAGCCTAAAAGCAAACCTTGAAGAGGATGAGCAAAAAGTTCCAGTGTGAGATGGGTAAAAGTAATAATAACAATTAAATCATTGTCTATTTAACAACAATAGTAAACCTGTTGGGAATAATGAGGAAAAGAGAACAAGAGGGTGACTTTTCATATTGGGTTGCTCTTGGTATCTCTGCTTGGTGGGGGAGGGTGGATTCTATTTTTGTTATTTTTTTCCCTTTCATACCATTGATACCACAATACCAGCAAACTGCAAACTGAGCACTTTGTTAACCTCCACAGAGAGCAAATACAGCAATCTAGAGTTTAGCCTTTTGTTGATTTTTGTCCATGTTTGTTCCCCATGTGTGCAATATATGTTTTTCCCTTCTGTTTCTTCTCCTATAAATTATCTGTAAATTTATTTCATAAAATGAGAAGAGAACAAGTAATTACGTTATTATTTTTAAGTGTATCTCATGCTATTCTAAATTCTACAGCTTACCTTAAGAGGACTCATAGGGGCCTCCTGAGGCTCTGTTCGTTGCAGTTTAAAAAATACATACTGTTCTTATAAGGGAAAGTAGAACTGTCTGCATGTCATCTAATGTTATTATTGTGAGGCTACACTCTACATATTGTATATTTGCAAAATATATCAGTGTTACTGTTGATATTAGTTGAAGTAAAGTGATAACATTTAAGTATGTAGACTTTTCTTCATACCTCTGTACCAATGGTAGAGTCTAACTGTAACTTATAGGTTGTTCCAGAAAAGATAAAGATACTGTTCAGGTATAAACACCCTTCAGAAAGTGCATTGTTACACAGAGGTAAGAATGCTCCTCTTCACTGAGTGACACAGCCTGTACTTCTTTTCAGATGTAGACTTCTTAATGTCAGTAAAATTGCCTGAATAAATGCAGAATATGCAGTAGCAGGGGAAAGGAAGATCTGACCCAAGCTGTGTTACTTAGTTAATAACAAAGACCTTAAATATCCTAGATCTGTGTTTGCTTTATATTTTAAAAGCCCTTTCATTAATTTAAATTAGAATAACTTATAAATATTTCAAATCTGCACCATAAGTCACATTTTAATGTGTGATCACTGGTTTTCCATGTGCAATCAAATATTCAGAAGTTGTCACAAACATGCATGAATGCAAAAAAAAAAAAAAAAAGCATGATTTCATATACACATGGAGAAAGTGTTGTGCCTACTCTGTAGGTGTATTAAGTTGCATTTGTAAAATCACTGACCAAAGCAACTAAACAACCAGTTCATATAAGCACAGAATTTGTAAAATTTCTTATTTCAGGTTCGTAAAGAGAGCCAGTGGATTTGATTCAACATCCAGCGCCGCCCCACCCCTTTCAGATATTTTTATGTACTTTTAACAAATGAATGTGTCTTGGTGGCAGCATAAGTTATAAGAACCTTGCTGCTGATTTAGGGGCATGTAGTCAAACCTGTCTGAATCCACCCTTGAGTAGCAGTCACTTAGAGAAGCGTGGATCATGCCTAGAATGGGAAAGTGACAGTACTAAAATATTGTGTGTGATAAAGAAAATTACTTTTTTTTGACCTGCAGGCAGGCGTAGAATTGGGGGGTTTTGTGGTTCTTCTTCAAATTCCATTGTCAATTAAGAACTGGTGCAGATCAGCGTAGCATGACTGTGTTTCTCTTTTCTTAGAAGTAAGGGAGAGTAGTAATGCTGATTTGAAAAAACGAAAGGGATACCTAAATAATGAAGGTGGCAAAAAAAAAGAAATCTTTTCTGGGACAACAGTCAAATATATATTTGGGGGTTTTAATTTTTTTAAGTTAAGAATGAAATGTACAACAATGTAAAAACAAAAGAAAGAAAATTCATCCTAATATAATGTACGTCTTGTATTGCTAAAAAAGTCTAACGTACAGTGTAGAATGATTTCCCATCATGTACTGCATGCAGCAGAAGCCTCTTGTTTCTTGAAAAAAATAAGCTGAAAGACAGTCAGCAGATATTTAAACAATGAATCTCTAGATGTTGACTTGCTGTTCCATATGAAGCTGTGTGTTTTCTGCAGTTAAGCATGCATTTTGCCGTTCCGTTGTAAAATATCATCGCACTTCTTGCCTGCAAATTGGATTATTATGTATATATTTAAAAGAAAAGTGGAACCAATAACAAGATTAAATTTGGGAAAGAAAAAAGGGGGTGGGAAGAAAATGGGACCAAGTAAGGGGAATAGATAGTTCTCTAAATTGTACATAGTGTGTAAATTAGTAATACTATAAGTCTGCAGTCACTCTGAGGTTGCCTACAATACCTATCTCTTGTTAGGAACTTAAATCAGCTTTGAGTTGTATTAAACAGTTAGAATTAGGTCTTGAATGCAGACTGTTAAAGACTTCAAGAAACATGCTTACAAGAAGCTTCTGTTCTGGGGAGGCTTGAGACCCCTTTTGTAACTATGGGGAAGAAAGGAGTGCTTTCATTTTAATATGCATTCTGTTTGTAAGTAGTAACAGACCCTATTGATGTAAAACTATAACTGTGATCATGTGGAGAAATCAAATAAATCATTTAAAACTCTTTGTTTCTCATTTTGTGTAATGTAAGTAAACTTCAGTGGTCCAGACTCAAAAGGAAGAAGATCTCCTATGATATCCTGGCCCCACTGAGTCAGTGGGATATCTGCTGCTGACTTCAGTGGGGCCAATGTAACAGTCCTCATCTTAAATTAAAATAAATTGGAGGAAATTATGATCAGTACTGTGGAGACTGTGGTGACTTCTCAATAGGCAGCTATACTGCACTTAGATCTGCAAAGAATAAGAGGCAACATGGAAGAAGCTTTTTTGTGTTAGCATTATCAAACATTGTAACTTTGAGAAATAGCAGATTTTAAAACTACTTCTTAAACATGAATTCTCTCTCATGTTAAATTGATCCTGCTAACCTTTTGGTTATCATTATTGCCATAGGAGCTCACATGCAGATGACTGCCTTTGACTCATGCATGTATTAGTTTATCCTTCCCAGGGATGCAATCCTTCATTTCCTAAGTGTGTTCTTTGGATCAAGCTCTGGAAGTGTTCATTGCTTCTGTGCAGCCACTGGCAGGGAACCATCATGATCCTACAGTAAGTGATGGAACTGAATAAGCATTACCCAGATTGCTTGTATAGTATTTGTTTGCTATTTGTCTGAATTTACATGTCAGAAGGATCACAACTTGGGCAGATGCGCCACACACAGCCTTCATAATACTTGTTACATTTGCAGGACATTTCATGTCCTGAAATTAGTTCAGACAACTTGTGGCATACTCAATTATTTACATGTTATTTTTAGTTCCTAATTTATTTATAGGATAAAGGGGGTTATGGTGTCTATAAAACCTTAGTTAATGCTAATGTTGGGCTGTGCATTTAAATTAAATGTTGTGGAGTTTTTTTTCCCTATAAATTTTAGGAGGTAAGTATCTATTTATCACTAGAGACTCCAAAATATGTCCTCACTCACAAAATATGGACTCACAAAGTGTGTCCTGTTTAGCACTTTAGAGGAGAACTGCTGCTACTGCCTTTAAGAAACTCTGAATGTTGTTACAAAATAAATATGTTTTTCCTGGTCCATCTTTAAAGCAGGGCCTAAATAACATCCCTAATTGCTCTGCTGCTTTCTACCTGGAAGACTAGATTGAAAGTACTTAAGATTTGTTACTGAGATTTGATACTGCTGAAGAAAAATTAATAGCCAAAGAAACCTGAGCATCAGCTGTGGTCAATGTGGACAATTTACACCAGTAGCTGCAGTGCTGAGTAAGTTAATAAAAAAAAAAAAATAGATAAAGCGTTTGATACAGTGAAATGCTCATATTTTCAAGTGTTGTTCAGAGACTGTAAACTTTAATATCCTTATGAACCTGAGATGCTCATCTTAAAGGAGTAGCTTATCTTAAGTCTCTGATAAAAATAATATGTACATATCTAGTGAAAAATGACTTCAGTTAAGAAATTATTTACCTCCTTGGTGAGGATTGGCAATCTAACCTTAAAGGTCATGGATTTTCTGTAATGAGTTGTAACTGAAAATAACACATACAAGCCAGAAATCTCATCCTGAAATCTCCTACAGCTTTGTCCCCCTGTATGTGCATTTTAGGTGTATGTATTTGTGTCTGTACACACGCAGTAGCAAATTTCTTCACACTTTTTCAGATAGCATCTTTTTAATAGGAAGTTACTTTATAAGTATTTTATGTAACATTTTGGTTGAAACACAAAGGCAATATTAAAATGACAGTAAAATGAGATATCTTCATAAAAGTTTTACTTTTGAAAACTTTGTTTAATCTGTATCTCTTTTTTTTTTTTGCTTAACAATCTCATATTGATGCATTCTGTCCAATGTCTTCCCAGCCCTCCAGTCTGCAACCATAGTTCACTTTTCTTGAGGAGTTTCATATAAAACAATTGTATTCATATTTTTCCATATATTTATTCCAAATATATATAATAACTTTGATGTATTCATGCAACATTTGATGTTGTATTCATCATTTACTATCTGTGCATGTGTGAGATTTGGCAGCCCCAATTATTTTTGTAYTTGTTGCACATTATTACAGAGCCTGACCTTGCAGAGGTCAGAATGCCCCATTAGTGCCCCAATTGGTGCTATTGCTTATCCAGCCACCCTTTATATTGAGCTTGAAACGTTTTAAACCAACTTCTAGTCTTTTGTGTAGCTACTCAGCTGTCCCAAGATGTCAGAATTATGATGCTGCTAGGAGACTGCGATAAATCAGCATAGGTATGAACTGATAAATTTATTTGCATAAGATGAACAGCATAGTTACAGTAACACAGCACAAAATATATGCTGGTACTGTAACTGTATATATACTGGTACTGTAACACAAATCCTGCAGCTCTTTCCCTGCTCT